CACATCTGCCAAAGGCGGCCCTAGAAGGCATCCTGCCTTTTGTACTGCGTTCTGGAGGTGGGGCCACAACGCACTGCTCACTGCATAAAAGGGACAGCATCCTGCCCCTGGCAGCTCTGCCTGACCAGCTCTGCCTCTCTCACTGCTATCCAACCTGTACACCCTGGTGACCGTGTCCAGGCTCCACATCTACCTCTCCAGCCAGACTCTCCTCTGAACTCTGGCCTCACATGGCCAACTGCTACTTGGAACAAATTGCCCCTTGGTTGGCAGATGTGTTAACATGCCCAGACCAGGATCCTGATCCCGCAACCCAACTCCCAGGTCAGGTGGAACCTCTTCTTCTCAGGCCCTTCTGTTCCTCTCCTCAGCCCCTCCCACCTCCCTTCAGAGTAAGTCTAGACTTTTACCCCTCTCACCAAGCCTGCACCCACCATCCCTGCGCAGGGGTTGTTAGGACAGCCCGACGCCCTGCTCCCACCCTGCCCCAAGACGCCCCCGCTCTGCAGCCCGGTGCCTCCAGGCTTCTCACCTCCTGCTGCTCACAGCTCAGCCTCACTCCCTCCCTCCCCATCTCTGCTCCAGCCTCAATGCAGGTCCCCTGCCCCATCTTCTGACAGGAGCTGCCTGACCTCGTCCCTGCTTCATCTGTCCCCACTCCTTCACCCCCCAACCTGTCCCCAGTTTGACTGAGATTCTTTCCTGCAAATCCCCACCCTTCAGAGGAGTTGGTCCTGCTGTCAACTCTGCTTCTGTGCCCCGCGCCGCACCTGGCATTCAGTGGGCATTTGCTGAAGAGATGAGGGTCAGATGCCCTGCAGGGAGTGTGGGGCGTCCTCAGGCGAGAAAAGTTGTACTTTTGACTGTGAGCCCCGATTATGTGTCCTGTGACCTCTCGGGTGAGGTCAGTAAGAGAAACCTCTGCAAGCTGGCTGGGGCTGCCTCCCAGAGGCTGCCAGGGGGAAGGACAGGCTCTGTCTGTGCTCTTCTGGCCTCACAGACAGGCTCTATCTGTGCCCCAGGCTACACCTGGGGGGGCAGGTGGCTTCTCAGGGCTCCCCAGGTATCAGCACGTTTCCTAGGCTGCTTGGGAAAGCCCTGTAAGCTTGCATAGACACCCAGCAAGAGGTTAGCCAGAGAGACACTTGTAGCTGGGGTCTGGGCACAAGTAACAGCTTGGTGCTGGGCCTGAAGTCAGGCAGGATGCAGCCTGGCTGGGTGAGAGGAAAGTTTGGAGCCAGTGCCTGGGTTCAAACCCCTCCATGGCCCGTGGTTCTGTGGGCCTGGGGAAGGGTTTGTAACTCTGTGTCCAGTTTCCTCACTTATAAAAAATGGAGATAACAAAAGTACCCATGTCCCAGAGTGGCTGTACCAATAATAGGGAAGCGTGCCCAGAGCAGGCCTGGCACACAGGAAGTGTGCATCAGCCTCAGTCCCTGCCATTGGGCTTGTCCTGGGTGTCTGTGAGGCAGACCTCTGCCCCACAAAGTGACCCCCAGGCTTGTGAGACCAAGCTGGGTCAGGGCTTCCTCCTCTGGGATTGCATGCTTACCAAGTGCCAGGAGGGGGACTTCTGCAGGCCCAGGTGCACCCTGAGGAAGGGGCTTGCTCCCACCAAGAACAAGGCTCGCCTTTGGAGGATGCTCCCCACATAAGAGGTGAACCCCCAGGTCTACTGGTGACTACAGCCTCAGAACCTGACAGCATCTATCCTCCAACCCATGCCCACTGGGAAGTGTGTGAGGGGTCCTCATAGGCCCTGTGGTGTGGACAATGCAGGGACCCTGCAGCATCTGGCTAGGGCAGGGCCCAGATGAGAGCCCTGGGCCAGGAGACCCTGGCCGGTTCTGCCACTGTGGGGAGACAAGCTCCCCCACCCCATGTCCCCCACTTCCCTGCAGCCCCACAGAGAATGCAGACCTACTTTTACAGAAATCCAGATTTTTGTGTAAAAGTGTCTCTATTTTAAATAGATTTTAAGTGGTGGCAGCAAATTTAAGCTTTTGAGAATATTATACAGTACAAATCAGATTCGCAGGCCAGATGCCACTTTATTTACAGAAATGGAATCAGGTCCTACCTCAGGTCCCATCTCACGTCTTCACTTATGCCTATGTGTCTCCTTCACGGGAAGGCCACAGGAGGCCCTGCAGTAAGCATCCTGGAGTTGATTTAAAGTCCCTGACGGTGAATATGGGGGTCCTCACTGTTGCAGCAAGGGGGCACACCCCTGTGTATCTTAGAAATGCCTGCAGCCCTTTTGCTGCAGAACAGAGTCTTAGGAGAGAAACTGTCAGATCAGAGTTCAACTTAGAGAAACTCCAAATTGCCCTCTGAACAGACGGTATCAGTTTGACATCACGCAATGCCGGGATTCCTGGGGGAGAACTTTCTGGCCTAGAAGGCAGTAGAGCCGGGACTTCACCCAGTCAGTGGCAGGGCCACACACAGGCCTTGATACAGAGGGGGAAGACTTGGGCCTCCTCGACACCCTACGGGGCCCAGCCTCCCAACATGTGATAAGAGAAACAGCAGCCACCTTGTACCTCGCTCTCCCTGTTCTCCAAGGGCTGGGCCACTTCTCCCCACAGCCCTGCAAGGGAGGATCACTCAAGGGCCCTAACTGTCTGACAATACAGCCACACTCTGATCAGCCGCCTGGGCACAGGCTCCATGTCATTGTCCTCTGCCAAGACCTCAGACTGAAATGTTGGCTCCTCCCATGAAGAACCTGGGGCCAAAGGACCAGAGTCCAGGTCTGTGGCCACCAGGATGGGCCACTTGGAGAGAGGCACAAGGGTGGTACCAGGCAGGTGTGAGGGCTGGACCTTTGCAAGAGCAGCATCATTTTTGTTGAGAGCCTGCAGGTATCTTATAATTGGGTCCCTCTGACCAATCTTGTCTGGCGGGAGATGCCAGGCAGGCTCCCCAGGACTTCCTGCCAGTAGCCACTGTGTGCGTGGATTTGGATGCTGGCCTCACCACAGTGTACTGGCTGTCTGTGCCTGCATAAATGACTTCTGTAAGCCTTTCTTCATCTGCAAGATGGGTGCTGCTGGCACCTCCTCCCCAGTGCTGTGGTGACCCGGCATAGTGTGTGAGGCTGCTATGTGAGACACCTAATGCAAGGCCTGGCATATGGAGGAATTCAGCAAATGGCAGATGCCTTCACAGTTAGTTCCTGGCATTCTCTACATTGGTGGGTGTAGGAAAGAAAGACAGAGGAGGCAAAGGTTGTAGCTGTGGGACATTGAGGACAGCCTGGATTGCTCCACAGAGCCCTGAGGACATCTCCAGGGGTGTGCTCCGCAGGGGCAGTTGGATTGGAGGGTTGGAGGTCGGGGAGGGCGTGCCCTCCCACCCATGTTCAGAGCCTCGGAACAGTGCCTGCTCAGCCAACATGGGTGTTTGATTCTGTGTCTTTTGTCACAGACTTTACCAGCCCCATCCCTTTCTGACCTTGCCTGAGTTTAAAATTCACATGTGGGGTCTCATTAGGAGACATGGTTCTGAACTAAAGATCTGTATCTATTGGGAATGCTTTGGGCTGCAGGAAGCCAAACACCTGACTTACGGTGGCATAGGTGGTTTCTGTCTGCTCCCATAAGCCGCACATGGAGGGTGAATCTGGCATTACTCTCTCCTCCCTACGTTCGCGGTATGCTAACAGCTTTAACCTCTGGCCTTGTTTCTTCATCGTTGCAGGGTAGCTATCACAGCCCTAGTTATCACATCCTTACACAGCTATGTCTACAAATTTAGGGGGACACTGAAGCTCCTCCCCCTGCTAAAATCAGGCTTTCCTTCACTTGTCATTGGCCAGAAGTGGGTGACATGCCCAACTCTAGACCAATCATCAGTAAGAGGAGTATAGTATTGCTGTGCCTACCTTAGACTAATCATGGCGCAATGTGCTCCCCACACCAACAAAATCTGAGTTCTAAAAACTGAGGAAGAAGAGGAAAATCGCCATGTTGCCTCCTGTCTGGGATTCAGATCATCTCCAACCCCCTGAGCTTATGCGTAAGACTGTGGGCAAAAGTGTGTGAGTTTTTGTGGAATGGGTCCACAGTTTTATCAGAGCATCTTTCCTTTTTCTTTTTGATTCAAGATGAAAATATCCTTATGATTATTTTTCTCACCACTGCCCAGAGATAACCAGCACATTAACATGGCCTTTTCTCCATGAATAGCACTAGGGTGCCCAGGGGACAGACACATAGCTGTCCACACACCAGCTTGCTGGGTATGCAGAGGCAGAGTCACATCTGCATTCAGAGCCTGTCCTCACACTGCCGTGTGGAGAGCGAGCAGCCACACCATGGGCCGTCCATGCTCACGGGAGTGGTAGTATCGGATCTGAGCTTCGTGTGCCCAGGCGTCTCTCACGTCAGTGCATAGGGACTCTCTTCCTTCTGTGGCCCAGTGTGCCCATGCCACAGATGGCTTCAGTCAGCAGACACCTCCTTCTAGACACTCACGCTCACTCCTGGCTGGCCCTTAGCACACCTGTGCAGACTGGCCCATTTATTTTCTGGTGTAAATCCCAGTAGGAGGACTGGGTCTCTCTGATAGCAATGCCAGCTGCCTGGCACCCTCCAGACAGGCGGCTCAAACCCCACCTCGCCAGCTCTCCCTGTTAGTCCCTCCTTTCCCTGGCTCTGACCTGAGGGACGAAGCAGGGTGCTACAGGACGCTGTGCCACAGGGATATCGTCATGGACAGAAGCCACTCTGCCCTCTGCTGCTCACCCCTCCAACACGCCCCGGGCTGCATTTGTTGAGTGGCTGGTCCCAGACTCTGCTCTTCTGACTTGCCAGCTGGTTTTCCCTGTAGTAAAGTTTGAGATGATGGGTCATCCTGAACCCGGGGTCAGAGGACAGAAGGAGGCCAGCAGCACGTGGGGGAGATGGCCCGTGAGGCCCTCGGCGTGTGGGTGCCTGGTGACAGTCCCACCCTGAGTCCCCAGCCCTGCTGCTCCCATCCCCCTCCTTGTGCAGGTAGAGCAGATCCTGGCGGAGTTCCAGCTGCAGGAGGAGGACCTGAAGAAGGTGATGAGACGGATGCAGAAGGAGATGGACCGTGGCCTGAGGTTGGAGACCCATGAAGAGGCCAGTGTGAAGATGCTGCCCACCTACGTGCGCTCCACCCCAGAAGGCTCAGGTACCACACGGGAACCGGCTCCTCATCCAGAAGCAGCTGTGGGCTCAGCACTAGCTGGGAAAAGAACCCCAGGCACTCCCAGACTCACAGCCAGTCCGAGACAGAATCTCCTGGGGAGCAATGAAGTCCCCAAATTGTGAGGCCAGTTCTCACCCTTGGCTCCTCTGGTCCAGCCCTGGGGCACTCGGACTCACCCTGGAGCTGGCAAACCTCAGGAAAACTGACTTTTTAAATCTCACTCCTGGCCAAGTGCAGTGGCTCACCCCTGTAATTTCAATACTTTGGAGGCTGAGGCGGGTGGATCACAAGGTCAGGAGTTTGAGACCAGCCTGCCCAACATGGTGAAATCCCGTCTCTACTAAACATACAAAAATTATACAGGCATGGTGGTGCATGCCTGTAGTCCCAGCTACTCAGGAGGCTGAGGCATGAGAATTGCTTGAACCTGGGAGGCCGAGGTTGCAGTGAGCCAAAATCACGCCATTGCACTCCAGCCTGGGTGACTGAGACTCCATCTCAAAAAAAAAAAAAAAAAAAAAAAAAAAGCTGGGCACAGTGGCTCACGCCTGTAATCCCAGCACTTTGGGAGGCCGAGGGGGGCAGATCACAAGGTCAGGAGATCGAGACCATCCTGGCTAACACGGTGAAATCCCATCTCTACTAAAAATACGGAAAAAAATTAGCCAGGTATGGTGGCAGGCGCCTGTAGTCCCAGCTACTTGGGAGGCTGAGGCAGGAGAATGACGTGAACCTGGGAGGCGGAGCTTGCAGTGAGCCGAGATCACGCCACTGCCCTCCAGCCTGGGCGACAGAGCGAGACTCTGTCTCAAAAAAAAAAAAAACCTCACTGCTCCCCATGGGCACTTAGGGAACGCCCAGCCCAGCTCTGCACTGGCCATTGCACTAGGTCCTCAGTTGGTCCCTGGGCTCTTGGTGACTCTATCTAAGGCAGGAGTTTCCCATTGACTTTTCCCCAGCTGACCTTTGACCCCTCCACAGTTGACGCTGGTGTCCCCAGGTGTCTGGTGGCCCCTTGTCCAGCTCCCTTGGTCCCTTTGTGCCTTCCCTCCTCCTCTCTGTAATATCTGGGCTAGTCACCCGGGGCCCACCCAGCCCAAGGCCAGCCTGTGGGTGCCCCTGAGGCTGACATACTTCTCTCTGTGCCTGTAGAAGTCGGGGACTTCCTCTCCCTGGACCTGGGTGGCACCAACTTCAGGGTGATGCTAGTGAAGGTGGGAGAAGGTGAGGAGGGGCAGTGGAGCGTGAAGACCAAACACCAGATGTACTCCATCCCCGAGGACGCCATGACCGGCACTGCTGAGATGGTGAGCAGCACAGGGGCCAGGGCAGGGGGCCAAGGCCACGCATGATCTCAGGGCCCAGCTAGTCCTGACAGGAGGTCCCACCCATCCACCAGGGGTGGGGAGAGCAGGGGCTGGAGGACCACCCAGCCTCAGAGGCAGCTGGAGGCCTGGGTGAACAGGACTGGCCAACATGTCCCCAAGTCCCACAGTCACCATCTGACCAGCATTGAGAGGGGAACGGGCTGAGGAGGGGTTAGTGGCAAGAGGAGCCCCAGCCAGTCACACTTTGTCCAGTTTACCAGAGGAAAAGCCAATGTGTAAGAACAGAAATGTGACCCGGCAGCCAGTGCACTCCCCACCTCTCCAAGGGCCACCCCTCGCCCTCCACCAGCATGCACAGAAAGTGGGGTGACAGCAATCACAATGTCTACCCAGGCAGCAAGGACCCCTGACCATGGGGAGGACTGGGGTGCAGGGGACCCAGAAGCAGAATGAGGCCTAGGGGGAGCTGGGCAAGGCCAGAGCCCCAGCTGCAGCCAAGCACGTGGCCAAGGCCAGCTCCTGGAGAGGCAGGGCTCCGAGGCAGGAGGCTGCCCGTGGTTGCCCGTCCTCACACCCCTGCGGCTTGCTAGCCTGTCTATGGGCTGGGCGTGAATCAAGGCAGTGGGGATGATGTGGGGACTTCCCTGGCCCCAGCAGCCAGTGAGGAGCCTGGTCAGTCAGCAGAGCATTCAGCAGTACCCAATTCCGTGGAGAGGCCCGTGTGAGGGGAGTCAGGGCTGGCCTTCAGCAAGGATGGGTGGTCAGGACACCTGGAAGTAGGAAAGGAGACTCCAGGTGCTGCAGACAGAAATCAAGGATGCGCCTCCATCTGGAGCCTCAGGAACAGCCGGCCAGGCCTGAAACTGGACTTTACAAGGTTCAGCTGGGAGGGCTAGGCTGACAGAGCACAGCTGGGCTGGGGACCAGCCTGCCCTGTGTTGCCCTGTCCCGGGGGCCACTGTCAGCAGGTCTCTGGCATAGGGGAGGCTTAGGGCCTGAGCCCAACGAGCAGCAGCGGAAGAGGAGAGGGAAACTGCGGACAGGCCTGGCATTCAGTGGCCAGGAGGTGCAGTGTTCCCTGAGGAATAGCTTGGCATGAGGCCCTGGGGAGGGCTGCAGGCCGGCGCACCCCCCCATGCCAGATGGTCACCGTGGCGTGCATCTTCCAGCTCTTCGACTACATCTCCGAGTGCATCTCCGACTTCCTGGACAAGCATCAGATGAAGCACAAGAAGCTGCCCCTGGGCTTCACCTTCTCCTTTCCTGTGAGGCATGAAGACATCGATAAGGTGGGCCAGGTGGAGGGACAGAAGGCAGATGAGGGGAGGCATAGGCGCCCCAGAGGAACTCTGCCTTCAAATGCAGCCCCCATACCCTGTGCTCAGAAGGGAGATCTGGATTCAAATTGTGGCCATGTCACCTGCCACCTCTAATGCTGTGGAAAAGAAGCATCACATTAGCTAATTCTGGCTTTGCACCCTGTGAGGCACCAGCTGTGATCACCCCACTACAGTGGAAAGAGCAGCTGGTAGTGGAGTGGGGCTCAAACTCAGGCAGCCAGGCTCCGGGTCACCTGCAGGCCACGGTCATGTCACAATGCCTCTAGCTGAGTCAGAAATGTGAAGGAACTGAGATTCTACCCTCCCTGCAAGCTAGCAAGGTGGCCTGCCAGTTACATCTGTGCATGCACACACACACAGTCATCTATGCACGCACATAAACATGAGACCTTTGGGTCAGGGAGAAAGCCAGTTCCTCACTCACAGCAGAAGCAGCAGCCAGAGCAACATCTCATGTGGTTTTCCAAGCCCCAGTCCCTACAGAGACACAGAGAGGGACAGGTGGCACCTGTGCATGCAGTGGGGTGCCTTGCAGGAAGGAAATCCTGATTTTACACCGAGCTGCTTCCTGCAGGCCCTGCCTTGACTCTGGGATGACGTCTCAGAGCTGTGCAGTACAACATTCTTAAATTGGCTGGGACTCAGCCCTGCAGAAATATGAGATATTCAAGGAGAATCGTTCCCAACACCTCTCAAAGCTATGGGGCTGCTCTGAGCCTGTTTCCTCAGCTGTAAAGTAGGGTGCATACGCTTGTGGCCCTAGGCAGGAGGTAGTGACAAGCCCTAGCACCCTGCCTCCAACATATGTCAAGCAGCCATGAGGCCTCCCTCTCCCCACAGGGCATCCTTCTCAACTGGACCAAGGGCTTCAAGGCCTCAGGAGCAGAAGGGAACAATGTCGTGGGGCTTCTGCGAGACGCCATCAAACGGAGAGGGGTGAGGGGGCACCTGTGACTGCCAGGGGGGCTGCCCTGGGCCACCCACCCCAGCACTGCCTGCCTTTCTCCTTGGCTCCCAGCACTGCAGCCTCTGTGCTTCTTGGCAGGACTTCGAAATGGATGTGGTGGCAATGGTGAATGACACGGTGGCCACGATGATCTCCTGCTACTACGAAGACCATCAGTGCGAGGTCGGCATGATTGTGGGTAAGGGCTCCTTGCACCCCTGCCCCTTCCAGACTGCCGAGTCGCCCTGGGTACAACAGGCTTTACGGGGCCCTGTGGGGTGAGGACCAAAGTACTTAACAACCGGTGACGTCAGAGCCGAGCCTGGCGCTGGAGCCTGGGTGGTCTTGGGGTATCAAAATGGAAGCACTGTGTACAGTAGGAAGCATTTCAACACCGTGATGCCACATGTATGCCAGCTGCACATCCACCTTGCCCATCAGGATTATAATTAAAACACTTTATTTGGTAAATTGACCAACTGGACAGATTTGTCCAAGTGGAAGAGGATAAGCAAAAGTGGTGCCATTCCTACCCGAATGGTCTTTCCACTGGCCTGCCCCTGCCCCTGCCCCTGCCCCCACCCAAAGTGAAGGCAGGTACCAGGAAAGGGAGCAGCAGCCCGCCCCTCCCAGCAGAGGGGTCTTCCATACCAACTCAGACCTTTCTCAGAAGTTCCGGAGGTCATTATAACGAGCCTTCACTGAGGAGCAATCCAATCAGATCAGGTATCTGCTGTGCACATGGGCGTGTGGTTCTATAATTCTCTTCCATTCTCACCTTTCAGAAGGAACATTGTCTTTAAATCCAGCATCTAAAGGTGAGCCCCAGCCATCCCTGCTGTGATCCCCCCAGCCCTTTCCACCCTCTCCTCCGGAGTTGCCTGGGGCTCCCCAAGACACTTCCATATGAATTCCCACCAAGCCAAGCTGCAGCTGCTCGGCCCAGGCATAACCCCTCCTGGGGCAGAGGTGGCAAGGAGTGACCCACGGCTCACATCTGCCCCACATACACTCTTGACTCTGCTCAGTGTTTAAAAACATGCTTATAACAATTACCAAGATCTGAAAATTAGGAGAATTCACATCAAAGTCTGGATTTCTGTTTGTTCATAAAAAACTAGAAGGCGGCCAGGCAAGGTGGCTCACGCCGGTAATCCTAACACTTTGGGAGGCTAAAGTAGGCGGGTCATTTGAGGTCAGGAGTTGAAGACCAAAATTAGCTGGGTGTGATGGCACATGCCTGTAATCCCAGGTACTCAGGAGACTGAGGCAGGAGAATTGCTTGAACCCTGGAGGCAGAGGTTGCAGTGAGCCAAGATCACACCACTGCACTCCAGCCTGGGCGATGGAGTGAGTGAGACTCCAGCTCCAAATAAATAAATAAATAAATAAAAACTGGAAGGCTAGGCATCAATGAGCCCTGATTCCTATGTGGCAGCTCGACTGACCAACATTTGAGTTGCTGTCCCTGACAGCTTTAGGGGTGTGCAGCCCACACAGTCATGCTAGCTTGAGGCTCTGCTGTCACCAGTGTGGAACTATTAATAACTTGTGAACAAAAGACTCCATGTTGTCACTCTGCACAGGAGCCAGCAAATTACAAAATTCCACATCCGGTCTTGTCTACAGGAGCCTCTGGACTGCTCCCAAGGGCCCACACCATGCCTTACTTTGGGCTGCCATGCAAACATGGCTCATGACAGAGAAGCTCAAACATGTGCATGGGCAGTGCCAGAAAACAAGGGTGGTGCATAGACAAAATAAAATGATAATGTACCACAACCATTTCTTTGATACACACAGTTTCTCTCAATCCTCCCAACCACCTAGGTAACAGGCAGGGAAGGTGTTATTGTTGCCTGTTAGGAAAGAGGACAGTCCAGAAAGCTGTCTCTAGCCACTGAAGCAACCCAGGTCTTCCAGCCCCAGGCAGACCCGCCTTTCCATTGTTCCAGACAAAGCAGAGACAGGCATGGGGGAGTGGGAGAGGCGGGGCTCCTATGGGCAGGAACCAGGCCATACTCCAGGGCAGTGCAGCTCTTGCTGACAGTCCCCCCGACCTCCACCCCAGGCACAGGCTGCAACGCCTGCTACATGGAGGAGATGCAGAATGTGGAGCTGGTGGAGGGGGACGAGGGCCGCATGTGCGTCAACACCGAATGGGGTGCCTTCGGGGACTCGGGCGAGCTGGACGAGTTCCTGCTGGAGTATGACCGCCTGGTGGACGAGAGCTCTGCAAACCCCGGTCAGCAGCTGTAAGGATGCCCCCCCTCCCCACAGCCCAGGCCCTGGGCCGCTCTGGTGCAGCGGCAGATGGGAGCCGGGCCACTGCCGATAATGGGCTTGTTTTTAAACAACTCTGGGGAAAAGCAAACTGACAATCCTTTCGTAAGCTCCATCCCTTCTGCTCAGTCATGACCTGCCCCTGTGAGAGATGAAAGGTTAGTCCCAGTTGTGATTTGATAAGCCCAGACCTTTCTCCTTCTGACAGGTGATTGTGCATGTAGAGGAGGCTCTGAGACGCCCCCAGTAAGGTTTCTGGGTTTAACCCAACATTCCCCAAAGTATGTATTTGGCCACATTCACAGAAAGAATATTAGTCTTTTGTGGAATGCTGCGGGTTGGCAGTCACAGCTTGGAAACCAACCCAGAGAGAGCTCATCATTAACTATGGCTATCACTTGTTAACTACCTACTGCGCCAGGCCTATGCTAATTATTTTATTAGCGTCCTCTCTGCCGCTCGCAGGCCTCTATTATTATAGGTCAGTAGTATTCCATTTATTTAAATTAAATATGGAAGGTCATAGATTAAGCAAGAAAGTGCCAGCAACATGGTGCATGCCTCCGACTGGGCACTAACCCTCCAAACCTTAGTTTCCCCAACCATAAACGGCCGATGAACAGCAGCTCCGGATGCAGCTAAAGGACTGAAGCTCTAGGTCCCGTGCTCGGCGCAGGGCCTCCTGCAAGGAAGGTTTCGGAGGGACTGGATGGGGTCTTTGAACTATCTGTCTGTCCCTTCACTGAAGTGGGCCCAGGGGCAGGCCAAACTTGGTCCCGTGATTGAGTTGGATGTGCACGTTCCTAATCCCTGACGTTTCTAAACTCTGGTTCATTAACGAGGGAAAGACGGGAACCAGATGGGGGAGTGGGGATCACAGTGCCCCACGTGGCCGCCTCGTGACCTCAATGGGGAAAAGTGGCTCCGGTTCCCGGCTTCCACCTGCACGAGGGGCCCTCCCTCGTGCCTGCTGATGTAATGGAGCTGCCTTGTGTCCAGGTATGAGAAGCTCATAGGTGGCAAGTACATGGGTGAGCTGGTGCGGCTCGTACTGCTCAGGCTCGTGGACGAAAACCTGCTCTTCCACGGGGAGGCCTCCGAGCAGCTGCGCACACGCGGAGCCTTCGAGACACGCTTCGTGTCGCAGGTGGAGAGGTGTGCGGAGGAGAAGGGCAGGTGCAAAGGGCAGGGGCTGGGGACGTCCAGTCCGGGCACTGCAGACTTGGTCTCAGGGAGAGACTGAGTCCCAGGCCCGTGGCGCAGGGACAGGAAACTAGGGCCTGGGGCCGGATTCCGGGCGTGGGCGGGGCCTGGGGCGGGGCACAGGGGGCGGGGCGGGAGTGGGCGGGGCCAGAGGCGGGGGGCTGGAGGCGAGGGCGGGGCTCTGGAAGCGAGGGCGGGACAGGGACGGGTCCGGGGTAGGAGGTGGGGTCCGGACGGGGATGCCAGGAGCAGGGATGGGGGCGAGCCCGCGTCCGGGCAGTGTCCCCATCCGTGAGTCCCCTCGGTGCTCCCTGCCCGCCGTGGCGGTGCTCTCTGGATCCTGCTGTGGCCTCACTTCCCTGGCGGAGACCCTGGGCTTAGTTAGAGGGAGCAGTACTAACCAGGTTACGGCTGGTCCCTAGCGGAAATGCTTTGACTGGTTGAGGTGAGCAGGATCGCCCCATTTCTCCAGAGAGGGGCCCCGGCTCAGCCAGGGAAAGAGGCCGCCGCTGGGTGGACGGCTGGCAGGGACCCCTCCCTGGAGAAGGAGAGGCCGCCGCTGGAGGGGGATGGATTGTCGGAGCCACCCTCAGCGACCGCCCTACCTCCTCCCGCCCCGCAGCGACACGGGCGACCGCAAGCAGATCTACAACATCCTGAGCACGCTGGGGCTACGACCCTCGGCCACTGACTGCGACATCGTGCGCCGCGCCTGCGAGAGCGTGTCTACGCGCGCTGCACACATGTGCTCGGCGGGGCTGGCGGGCGTCATCAACCGCATGCGCGAGAGCCGCAGCGAGGACGTAATGCGCATCACTGTGGGCGTGGATGGCTCCGTGTACAAGCTGCACCCCAGGTGAGCCCGCCGCGCCCTCTCCCTGGTAAAGTGGGGCCCAGAAAGCGAGTGCTCCATGGTTCCTTGTGACTCCCAAGCTCCAAGATTTTGTAATCCTCTTCTTGTCCCCCTTGGCCTAGATTTGGGGGAAGGGTCGACTTCGTGCAGGATGCCCGGTAATGAATGTGGAGGATGGGCTGGGAGGAGGGACGGCAGCCCTGCTTCTCTTCTGCCCAGCTTCAAGGAGCGGTTCCACGCTAGCGTGCGCAGGCTGACGCCCAGCTGCGAGATCACCTTCATCGAGTCGGAGGAGGGCAGTGGCCGGGGCGCGGCCCTGGTCTCGGCGGTGGCCTGTAAGAAGGCCTGCATGCTGGGCCAGTGAGAGCAGTGACCGCCAGCACAGGGAGGATGCCACAGCCCCACAGCACCCAGGCTCCACGGGGAAGTGCTCCCCACACGTGATCGCAGCCTGGCGGGGCACGAGACCTGGCCTTGTCAGGACCTGGGCTGCCTGCCATCCCGCTGGGGAACCCAGCGGGCCTCTTCCCTCAGTCATTCGGTGGGACAGCCCCAGGGCCCTAACTGGGGTGCGGCAGGAGCAGGGACAGAGACTCTGGAAGCCCCCACCTTTCTCACTGGAATCAACTTCCTAGAAGGGAGTTGCTCACTCAGGACTTTGTTGCATTTCCACACTGTCAGAGCTGTTGGCCTCGCCTGGGCCCAGGCTCTGGGAAGGGGGCACCCTCTGGATCCTGCTGTGGCCTCTCTTCCCTGGGAACTCATCCTGTGTGGGGAGGCAGCTCCAACAGCTTGACCAGACCTACACCTGGGCCAAAAGGGCAGCCAGGGGCTGCTCATCACCCAGTCCTGGTCATTTTCTTGCTTGAGGCTCAAGAGGCCCAGGGAGCAATGGGAGAGGGCTCCGTGGAGGAGGTGTCCCAAGCTGCGAATACCCCCAGAGACCTTTTCTCTCCTGTACCCCCATCCCTGAGTGACTTGTGATTCTGGGATGGACCCTCACAGCAGGTGCAAGAGACAGAGCCCTCAAGCCCCTGCCCCAAGGGGCCCACAAAGGGGAGAAGGGCCAGCCCTGCATTTTCAACTCCCGCAGCACTGGCTCAGGAAGAAACCCCAAGCAGCATTCAGCACACCCCAAGGGACCACCCCATCATACGACATGCCACCCTCTCCATGCCCAACCTGAGACTGTGTGAGTTTTTTAATTAAAAATGTTAAAAGTTTTAAACATGGCCTGTCCACTGTTCTTTGACTTCTGTGCATAAGGACTGTGGGGACAATCTATAAAGAGTCAGCGTCACATGCATGAAGATACTTCAGTATCTCGGCCATGCCCTCCAGACAGCTCCTTCCAGCCAGCCGTGCCCCGGGGAGTGTGAGGAGTGACAGACCAGGCTGTAGGAACAGGAATGGGGTATCATGGGGGATGGCAGAGTAGTGGACAATACACTGCCTGGCCGGTGCCCCTGCTTGCCTGCCCATGGAATGTGTGCAGAGAGAGTGCCAGGCCAGGTGCTGCTCTGGGGAAGTGGGGGAATGAAGCTGGTTCTGCTGCATGTCAGTCTCAGCACCGTCCTGTCCAGTCAGAGCCACTTAGGTTTGCCAGTGAGTGGAGGCCCAGATACACGTTGGATTTCTAAGGTCCCGCCAGATGCTCCTATTGGTGGAATGCCTGTTTAGAGTTAGCCAAACATAGGCCTAATGCCATCTTTCTGTAGCATAAACACAGTGACATAGATACATATTTGTGTGATTTTCATGCACGTGCATTTTTCGATGAGAGACACCACCCAGCTAATCAGGAACAACTGCTTTGTTTCCTTCAGATCTTAACCCAAAGTTGTGATTTTGAAAAGTCATGTCCCCCTTCAGATTTCTTGCTATCTGCTACTTCTCATGTGGAATTGCTTTGGATCTTCTTAGTTCTCTTGAGTCTAAATTAGTCCTTATAAGTTAGTGCAAGCATCTGATTACTTTGTTATCATTACTGTTATGTTCAAGCATTCACAAAGTGGAAAACATTTTAATATCAATTGCTTTCTATTTCTCCTTTATATTACAGTTCAGGGCATTGTATTAATTCTTAAAATTCTATATGTAGGTAGGTTATATGTCTGAATTGAAATGGCTGAATTGAAATAGATAAAATGAATTTCTTTTCTAGATAACAAAGGGAGTGTCATAAAACACTTGTTATGGGACAGTGTGATGGCTCACGCCTATAATCTCAGTGCTTTGAGAGGCTGAGGTGGAGGATTGCTTGAGGCCAGGAATTTGAGACCAGCCTGGGGCAACATAGCAAGACCCCATCTCTTAAAAAAAAAAAGTGGGGGGCTGCTGGGCACGGTGGCTCACGCCTGTAATCCCAGCACTTTGGGAGGCCGAAGCAGGTAGATCACAAGGTCAGGAGTTTGAGATCAGCCTGGCCAACATGGTGAAACCCCGTCTCTACTGAAAATACAAAAAGTAGCCGGGCATGATGGCAGGCGCCTGTAATCCCAGCTACTCGGGAGGCTGAGGCAAGAGAATTGCTTGAACCTGGGAGGCGGAGGTTGCAGTGAGCAGAGATCGCACCACTGCACTCCAGCCTGGGCAACAGAGCAAGACTCTGTCTCAAAAATGAATGAATTAATTAATTAATTAAAAAAAGAAAGAAAAAAAAAAACACTGGGCAGGGTGGTGTGCACCTGTAGTCCCAACTATTCCAGAGGTTGAGGCAGGAAGAAGCACTTGAGCCCAGGGGTTGTCTGCAGTGAGCTCTACTCATGCCTCTGCACTTCAGCCTGGGTGACAGAGCTCAGTGGCTCACACCTGTAATCCCAGCACTTTAGGAAGCTGAAGCAGGCAGATCGCCTAAGATCAGGAGTTCGAGACTGGCCTGGCCAACATGATAAAACCCTGTCTCTACTAAAAAAAATAATTTTATATATATATATGTGTGTATATATATATATATATAAATTAGCTGGGTGTGGTGGTACATGCCTGTAATCCCAGCTGCTTGGGAGGTTGAGGAACGAGAATCGCTTGAACCTGGGAGGTGGAGGTTGCAGTGAGCTGAGAACGCGCCACTGCACTCCAGCCTGTACGAGAGTGAGACTCCGTCTCAAAAAAAAAAAGGAATTTAAGGAATTTAAAAGAAAACTCTTGTTATATAAAAAGAGTATTGGGTGTGACACATGAGAGCTCCTGCACTCTACCAGTCAGCTACTGACAGACATGGGCCTGGCTCCAGTGGAGGGGCAGCAGCCAGTGAGCCCAGCCTGGGGTGACCCACTCCTGCTGCCTCCAGGATGCCCCCTGTTTCCCCAGCCCCTCTGCTGTGCCCTCGGCCCCGGAAGCTGGCAAGTCTGCTTCTCTGGAACAGCATCACGCAGGCCTGCCCATCGGCCCACTGTGCACCAGGCCTTCGGGGGATCCAGATGTCAACCAGGCTGGGTGTTCAGGAGAGGCACAGAAGCCAGGAATACAAACACATCAGCCACCAGGCAAATGGGAAACGTGCCCCAGAAGCTCCCTGCTGAGGATGTTAGGGAGAGCTTTTTGAAGTAGTGTGGTTGAGATGGGGCTTGAAGAAGGCAAGGTTCCAAACAGCAGGGCAGACTGGGGACAAGGCAGACTGCATGGGAGGGCAGCCGCTGGAGCTCCCTCACCCTCCAGAATTACCCCAAAGCCAAGCAAAGTGTTCTGCCTGGGGTCACAGCTAGCTCGGGGATGCCTTCTGCCCCTTCGTCAGAGGGGCAAAAGGTCAGAGCCTAGGGTCACCAAAACCTCTGGGCAGCCCAGGGGGGGTCTCAGACCACAGACCATTCTCAGAACTACCCACTGCCTTCCCAAGCCTGGGGGGGTCCCTGGACTGACCCTCCCCAGCTGTCCTCTTGCACTGGTCAGGGTTCTGGCTGGACTGGCAAGGAAGGGTGGTCAGATATGGGAGTAACTGGATCCCTTCATCAGGACCTAGGGTGGTGAGAGCTTTGAGCCTGCTCTGCTCTGGGCAGACATTGTGCCTGGCCCTGCCAGGATGGATAGACAGCAGGATGTTACACGTTGAGGACATGGAGGTCATCAAGAATGTGGCTGGAATCTGTTAGGGCCTTCATCCTCCCCCAGCCCAGGCGGGGGCTGCCAAGTTTGGTCCTGTCCTCTGTTCCTCTCCTTATTTGGACCTTCAGGTGATAAGCCTGAGACATAAAGGAGGCTGAGCCCTGCCACCACGACAGCAGCCACACCTCTGCAGAGAGAATGGTGAGTGCCTGCTGGGGAGGAAAGGCTAGCGGTCTCCCTGGTGCTGGCCTTTGGGCTGGGGGAGCAGAGTTTTCTGTGCTTGCGTTTGGTCGAGGGTGGTCCCCAGGGAGAGGAAGAGGATCCTGGCCCTGGCTCTCCTGGGAATGCTCTGGGACAGTGCATGGTGGGTGGGATGGGGAGACTTTGAGGAGGTGGGGAGAGGACCCCTCCCTACTCACGGTGTTGCAGGCCAGCAGGAAGGCGGGGACCCGAGGCAAAGTGGCGGCCACCAAGCAGGCCCAACGTGGTTCTTCCAACGTCTTTTCCATGTTTGAACAAGCCCAGATCCAGGAGTTCAAGGAAGTGAGTGCCCACTCCCAGCAGCCTCAGACCCCATCCCGGCCTGCCCAACCCCACCCCACATACACACCCCCCTTCTATCCTGACCTTGCCCCTCACACTACCCAGGCCTCTCCCCTTCCTCCCACCTTCCCTAGAGCTGGGGGCTGCTCCCAACTGAAGGCCCCCATCCCACAGGCCTTCAGCTGTATCGACCAGAATCGTGATGGCATCATCTGCAAGGCAGACCTGAGGGAGACCTACTCCCAGTTGGGTGCGTGCACCCACCTCCCACCCAGACCCACCCTGCAGACTGGGGCCCCTGCTCTGAGCTGCTGGGTGGGTGGGAGTGGCTGGGGGGACAGCGCCCCGCTCCCCTGCTTCCCCTCCTCCCCATCTCCTCACACTGCCCTTCCCCCCTTGTCACGCCTTCCTTCCACTTCACCTCCCCGACCCACAGCTGCCTCTGCCCCTCCAGCCCCTGCGGCCAGGATAGAGGGAGGGTGGCCTAGGCCCTTCTGGGGGACACCCAGGGTCCAGGTGTGTACCTCATGCCCCACCCCCACCAGGGAAGGTGAGTGTCCCAGAGGAGGAGCTGGACGCCATGCTGCAGGAGGGCAAGGGTCCCATCAACTTCACTGTCTTCCTCACGCTCTTTGGGGAGAAGCTCAATGGTGAGCCTGGGACAGAGCTGGGCACCCTTGGCCAGGCAGGGAGCCTGCACCCTGCCTGAACCCCACCTGAACCCTGCCTGAACCCCACCGGAACCCTAACTGTACCCCATCTGGACCCACCTGGACTCTTCCTAGCCATGGCCCATTCTAAGCACCTCCTGTGCCCCAGAATCCCATGTGCACTGGTCACCCCAGTGCTGACTTGGGGCCAGGAAACGTGCCTTCAGCCCCTACCCCCAAATTCCAATCTCCCAGCCAGGCTGCCCGCCTCAGGAGGATGACCATTCCCAGCCCCACTGATCCTCGAGAAACACTTTATATTAGGGAATACCCCCACCTCTTCTGGGATGCGGGGGGCTCCTCATGCAGCCCAGTTCCTGCTAGGCGGGACCTGGGATGCTGGAGACATGGATGCTCACCTGGCTGCCTTGGCCTCCCAGGGACAGACCCCGAGGAAGCCATCCTGAGTGCCTTCCGCATGTTTGACCCCAGTGGCAAAGGGGTGGTGAACAAGGAAGAGTAAGTGTGGGCCCAGCCAGATGAGGGGCACAGTGGTGGAAGCAGAGAGGGGGGTGAGGCCCCTTGTGAGGGGGGCTGCCTGTACTTCGGGGCCTTATACTACTCTTTGGGGTGCGGCCAACCCTTCCCTACGCCATGAGAGCCTCTGTACCCATGTTCCCTGCGCAGCCACTCCCCCACAGTCTCCTGCTCAGACCCTCCTCACTCCCCGCAGGTTTAAGCAGCTTCTCCTGACCCAGGCAGACAAGTTCTCTCCAGCTGAGGTGAGGCTGCCCAGCCCCTTCAATACCCATCCCCAGCACCTTCTCTGGGCCTCACCCATGACCCAGAGCCCAGTACCAGTGAGGCAGTTGCTGGAAGGGTGAGCCGGGGGTCTTTCTGGAGGAGGTGCCATCTCTGTTGAGACCTAGAGGGTAAAGATGTGGAGTCAGAAAAGACAGCATGTTGCATCAGGCAGGGAGACTGTACACAGACCCGGGGAAAAGCAGATAAGGAGAGGTTTCGTATACTTGGGGTGGGCCTGTGCCTGTGGCTGGAGGGGCGCCCTTTGCCCCTTGGCCCCCATTTGCACCGACTCCTCACTCTGCCCAGAGTCAGCCAACAGAAAAAATTAACCCAGAGTCTGGGGTCTAGGGTTGAAAAGCGAAGGCACAAAGCACAGATGCAGGGGGCAGGCAGAAGGGCCACAGGACTCAGGTGAGGTCTCTGCCCAGCTGGGCCAGGAGCTAGGGGGCTACCTCTCACCAGCGCCCCCTGCAGGTGGAGCAGATGTTCGCCCTGACACCCATGGACCTGGCGGGGAACATCGACTACAAGTCACTGTGCTACATCATCACCCATGGAGACGAGAAAGAGGAATGAGGGGCAGGGCCAGGCCCACGAGGGGGTACCTCAATAAACTCTGTTGCCAAATTGGAATTGCTGTGGTATCTTTTCTGTGACAGATGGGCTGGGGACCAGCCAAGGGGGATCCCAAGGTCCCAGTGCACACATCACCATGATCATGGCCACCATCTACCTTGCCAGCTCACCTTGATTCACTCCCATGCTGCCAAGTGAAGTGTGAACTATGATCATGCCTAGTTCACAGATGAGGACACTGAGGCCCAGAGAGTGTGAGCATCTCGCCAAGGCCAGCCATCTAGAAGAGGAGAGGGTGGAATTTACACCACCTCCACCAAGCCCAGGAATGAGCCACAAAGTGGGCACTACCCAGCTACTTGGGGCTGTGTAGAGAAGAGGCTGCTTGCTGGGCACTCAGCAAACTCTGCCCAACAGCCCAGCAGGTAGGCAGTGGCCCTGGTACCCCCACACCCAACCACACAGCCTCCCCTGGCCCACTGCTCGCACCCCTTCTCAATACACTGGCTTGGGTGCCTCCCTGCATGGGCCCTGCAGAGAGGTACCCATTTGAAACACAATCAGCTTCTCATTGCAATTACAGGCAAGGCACTAAGACACAAGGAACATGGACACCGAAGGAGGGGCCAGGGAACATGCAAATTTTTAGAGGAAATGCCCAGAACCTGGCATCATGCCTCCTGAGCCCCTCATGCGCTGTGAGGGGTAAGAGGGTCAGACAGCTGGAGGGTAGGGAGATGACGTCTCAGGAGACAATAGTTAGTGCTCCTGTCACCCTTCATTTGAGAACCCAGGAGCTAGAGGAAAGAGTGATCCTCATCATGAGTACCAGAGGAGCAGCAGGGGACATCCAAAGTACGAGAGGGTAGGAGGAAGAGAGAGAGAGAGAGAGAGAGAGAGAGAGAGAGAGAGAGAGAGACAGAGACAGAGAGAGACAGAGACAGAGACAGAGAGACAGGCAGTGACAGCTCAAACCTCAGCCAGATCCAGAGCGTACAAAGTTTCCTGCCTACAGAACTGCCCAGTAAGAGCTCTCAGCCTGCCTCCTTCCCTCCCCACAAGCCCTGCTGCAATCCCTGTACCTGGGGGTTGGTGGGGAGGAGGTGAGTGAGAAAGGAGGGGCACTCCTTCCTGAAGGCCCCAAGAAGAAAAGCATTTTCACCCAGATAGGTGTTCAGTTTTGATTTTATCTGAGGTCTGGCAGTTTAATTACTAAATGGAAACTTGAGACTTTCTGGAATTATGGTATTTTCTGTTGCTTAGAGAGATTACAAAAGTCACGAACTGCCTGAGTTTCCACCCCAATAGCAGGCCACCAGCCCACTCCACTGAGCATGCTGGGACACTGGGTGAACAAAATCAAGTACCATTAGGATTCTACCACATGAGTTTGCTTGTTCAACAAGCTGATTTCATAAAGTAAGGGATCATGTTATAATCCAAGCTCTACAGGTGTAAGTTGTGAAAGACTGAAACAAACCAAAAAGATCATAGGTGTCCGGTTATCTGATTTGATGGGGTATCTGAACCTTTCGTTGTCTTTGAGCTGTTTCAAAACTCTGTAAATTATTATTATTTCTTTTTTTTCTTTCTTCTTTTTTTTTTTTTTTTTTTGGATAGAGTCATCTCTGTCACCCAGGCTGCAGTGGCATGATCTCAGCTCACTGCAAACTTCACCTCCCAGGTTCAAGTGATTCTCATGCCTCAGCCTCCTGAGTAGCTAGTATTACAGATGTGCACACCATGCCAGGCTAATTTTTGTATTTTTAATAGAGACGCGGTTTCACCATGTTAGCCAGGCTGGTCTCGAACTCCTGACCTCCGTTGATCCACCCGCCTATGCCTCCCAAAGTGCTGGGATTACAGGCGTGAGCCACTGCACCCTGCCACAACTCTGTAAATTATAACTAATAGCAAGGCAATGATTCTTCTCTATAAACATGCAAATAAGTGTTGTCCAGTGGAAGCACAATTGATTTTTCCCTTCTCTGTGGAAGAAGCCAATTTTGCCTATATTAAGCAAATTCATCTGGGCATTCCTAACAGTCTACACATGCACTGGCTCTTTGAATTCTTCTCTGAACCAGGCCCAGGAATGAGCCACAAGATGAGCACTGCCCAGCTCCTTGGGCTGTCACATCTTATTGATTCCTACGTGAATTCACAAGTAAATAATATTTAGCAGTTGTTCACTTAGTATGCAATTCAAGATTTTGCTTTAAAAATATTATCCTTTCACACTGCTGATGTAGTTGTCTGATAAGGTTAGTCCTTTCCACACCAAAACTGCCTGTATTAGTGTTGTTTGGAATAAACTGAGGGTAGAATGTATATGGTATGTGTATGTGGGGTGTGTGTGTGTGTGTGTGTGTGTGTGAGATAGAGAGAGAGAGAGAGACAAAAGAGAGAGACAGAAGGATAGAGAGAAACAGATGGGCATAGACCCAGGATATCAGTTTAGCCTACACTGACCAATATGATAGCCACTGGCCACTTGAAATGTGGTGTGAGTTGGGATATGCTACAAGTGTAAACTGCACATAATATTTTGAAGATTTCATACAAAAAAGAATGCAAATATCTCATTAATAAATGTTGTTATTAATATCATTAATATTATAATATACGTTGAAATGATAATGTTTTGGATATTGGATTATTACTAAAATTAATTTCACCGATTTCTTTTCACTTTTTAAATGTGGCTACTAGAATATTTAGAATTTCATAAGTGACTTGCATTTCTGGCTTTCACTCCTGTTGGAAAGCACTGAGTTAGACTGTGTAGTATGTCTATTTAAGACTGCGGTTAAACGAACATGGTGGCTCGGGCCTATAATCCCAGCACTTTGGGAGGCCGAGGCGGGCAGATTACCTGAGGTCAGGAGTTCAAGATCAGCCCGGCTAATATGGTGAAACCCTGTCTCTACTAAAAATACAGAAATTAGCCAGGTGTAGTAGGGCATGCCTGTAGTCCCAGCAATTAGGGAGGCTGAGGCAGGAGAATCTCTTGAACCCGGAAGGGGAGGTTGCAGTGAGCAGAGATCAAGCCACTGCACTCCAGCCTGGACGACAGAGCAAGACTCCATCTCAAAAAAAAAAAAAAAAAAGTAGAATAAAAATAAATAAATAAATAAATAAATAAATAAAGACTACAGTTTCTGGGAGACACTGAGGCAGGCATTAGCCGTCTCTGCAGAGAGTACTTGCAGCAGGGAGCAGCAGTTTTGATGTCCTCAAAAGGAGCCAATTTCATTTGGGTGGGGTTGCCTCTGAGTATTCTAGCAGTACAGACAGAAGGGAGAGAAGGCTGTTTCCAGAAAGCAGAGATCATATGAATTACTTGTGAGACCAAACTTTTTCCTCAGGTGAATCTCAGGCATCTCGTAAGTGGAGTGTCTAACAGTCTACACCTGAGGATGTTGGACAGAAGGTGGTGTGAGGTGAGCATAGCTGGGGAGAGCTCCGGGAGGGGGAAGACCAGCTCCATGTTGTCCACCCACTGAAAGGAAAGCTCCCTCTGGGGGAGGTGGATGCCCCCTGGCCAGGCCTGCAGGGCCCTGCTCACTATGAGCTCTGTGTGGTCCTGGCCTGGGTCACACCAGCCATTGCCAGGCAATAGCTCCCAGTTGGAAAACAGAGCAAGGTTCCCTCTCAAAAAAAAAAGAAAGAAAGAAAGAGAGAAAGAGAGAAAGAGAGAAAGGAAGGAAGGAAGGAAGGAAGGAAGGAAGGAAGGAAGGAAGGAAGGAAGGAAGGAGAAGGAAAGAAAAGAAAAGAAAAGAAATACAACAGGTAACCAAGCATGATGGCTCACGCCTGAAATCTCAGCCACTTGGGAGGCCAAGGCAGAGGATTGCTTGAGTCTGGGAGGTTGAGGCAGCAGTGAGCCAGGATTCCGCCATTGCACTCCAGCCTGGGTGACAAAGCGAGACCCTATTTCAAAAAAAAAAAAAAAAGCAGAGAGAGAAAGAAAGAAATGCAACAGGGCCAGGCGTGGTGGTTCATACCTGTAATCCCAACACTTTGGGAGGCAGAGGAGAAAGGATTGCTTAAGACCAGGAGTTCAAGACCAGCCTGGGCAACAGGCAAAAACCCATCTCTTAAAAAAATACAAAAATTAGCCTGTTGTGGTGGTGCACACCTATAGCCCCAGATATTCAGGGAGCTTGAGCCAGATCCAGGCTGCAGTGAGCCATGGTCGTGCCACTGCACTCCAGCCTGGGTGACAGAGCGAGACCTTGTGAGAAAGAAAAGAAAGAAGGGAAGAAAGGAAGGAAGGAAGGAAGGAAGGAAGGAAGGAAGGAAGGAAGGAAGGAAGGAAGGAAGGAAG